TGAGGGAGCTCAGAAGGGAGGCCTAATGTAAAGTGTATGAAAAAGAGATCTTCAAGACTGACTTGCTTCGAGTGTCACAGAAAAACGGTTTGCCGTCCAGCAACCCAAAAGTGATTTTTCCAAGACAGAAAGGAGTAGACTATGTGACCATTACGTAGAAATCTAAAATAGAAGACCAAGAGAAAGATACCATGTGATCACTTCTGTGTTTTCAGATGTATTTATGTGCCCCCGTCTTCGTGTTATGGCACATCCTTTTAGGGGACTATATATAATATTAGTGATTAAGAATGTAGACGTTGTGAACTGGGGGCGGGAAGCTGCATGGAAGAGCTCTTGCTTCATAAGTACAAACACTGCAGTTGGAGTCACAGAACACACATGTAGTGCTTTGGCACAGTGCCACGGGGCTGTAATTACAGGTGGCTGTAATCCTAATTCATTTGAGGCATTCCAGGAGAAAGCTGGCTGTCTAGATTAGCTGAATGCATGAGTTCCTGGCTCAGTAACAGAACTCGACTCAGTAAATAAAGTGGCAAGTAATCAAGAAAGATACCCAATATTAGCCTCTGTGCCTTCACATACATGCAACATCCATAACACACACTCTAACATGCATATACAAACACACACATATACATGCATGAGTGCATGAGTGCCAGTTCAATCCCTTCTTGAAAGCTCATAAGGATTTCACTGAGATGATGCTTTCGAAGCACCTAGCACATTGGTTCAAAGCACTCACGGATGGGAGCTATTATAATACAGGAAAAGAACCTGGGAAGAATAACAAACTATTTCTTCTTCACAGGCCTGGGTATTTATTCTGACTTATCTGACATTACTAGGTTATGTGACTGTCTCCCTAAAGGGCAAAGAGTCATCATTTTGCTATATGCAGCTCTGCATAATGAGGCAATACCAACTGACTACCCTCCTTAGTAAACAGTTAGGTGCCTAAAACATTTTTTCCTGGAAAACTTGGAATGCAATATCACTCTATCAGCCCCATAGTATTCATGGTCACCACTCTAACAAAAAGAACATTTGTTGAAAATAGAATATGCATCCTTGGAGCCAACCAATCAAAATGTGTACACACAGTTCTTAGGGAACACAGCTGAGCAAACAGTGGGTGCCTCTGTGTTCATTGGAAGAAGTAGCTGTTTCTCCCAACTGGAGGAGCCCCAAGCAAGCAAAACAGAGGCTGTGTTCCAGTTCCCAATCACTCATGTGAGGGTCCAGTGCTGGGCACATATCCCACCATGGTCACTGGTAGCCATGATAGCAGGCTGACAGAAAGGATACGTGCCTCTCTAACAGAGAACTCTGTTAAACTGTCGCACGTAGGGAGTACTGACATAAAATGTGGAGTAGGTGAATGAATTCATGAATAAATGGATTGATGGATGTTACACAATGACTATTTTTTCTCAGACTGACTTTGGATTTAGTCAAGTCACCCTCTGTGTTTCCTTAATGTTCCTCCTGGTATCCTTTGAATCCCCATATAGAAAGTTCTCATTTTATTTCTCTGTGGCTATGGGTTATTGAGAACTGTAGCTTGTTTCAGCAAGTTGATTTCCTGATGTGCAGGATTCCAAGGCAGATGAAACTTGGCCCTGGGAGAGCTTTTATGTAAAATCTCTTTTCTGCTTTGGCTGAGAAGTTCCCAGCATGCCTTTGTCTCTTTCTCACACTTTTAAGTGAAGACTGTAATATACCCTCTACTTCAGGCAAACAGAGGCAGTGATTACTGGCAGCCTCACTTGGGTGTCTCATCAAGAGGATGGTGACAAGCGAGATCTGACCAGCATTACCCAAAGTACTTCAGTAGGTGCTCTGCTATCCTGCTGTACACGGATTTCTGTAGAGCAGATCAAATAAGCCCATCACCTGTTACAATTACCAGGTAAACAGGGCCATTCCACCAAGGACTCCAGCCTCTTGATCCTGGCCTAGAGATGTGAACTGCTACACATAGGCTTATGGCCATGTTGAAGACTTCATTTAAAACCCTCTGAGGTCCATAGATCCTAGGACCAACAGTATCATTGCAAGATATGACTCTAAATGCTGTGGGCCTGTCCTTTTCTTTGCAACTGCACAGTATTGCGGTATTGTCTCTGGCCTCATAAATCTACTATTAGAAAAATCTTCCTTGCCGGGAATTCTATATCTACTCCTGTTGAGCTTTCCTTGGATTTCTACCCCCACCTCCAATAATACTGGATCCAGACCACATCTCTGGTGGAATGTCATCAGCACCTCTCAGACTGTACTGCCATGCCTTCCCAGCTAGACATGAGAGATCTATCAGTGAGAAAGAAGTTCATTTATTCATCTATTTCCATATAACATGGCAAACAAAATTCTCAAGCTTCAAAGTCACAGGCCTCATTCTCCTTCAGTGCCTGTAACTATCCGGACTAACGTAAGTTTCCTTTCTTTCCAAATCTCAGATTTTCTGTCTTTAAAGTGTGTGTGTGTGTGTGTGTGTGTGTGTGTGTGTGTGTGTGTGTGTGTGTGTGTGTGTGTGTAATATCTATGACCTATCTCTGAGATGGATTGATGTGTCTAGCACATGAAACACAGCCCTCTCCTCTGATGTTATCATGAGGGAATACAGGAAGGATCTAGAGAATCACAGTGGCTTGCTGGTAGCTGTAACTTGGTCTGTGAAGGGAGGCTAGGTAGAGACACAGCTGGATGGCTCACCCTGTTTGAGGTGATCAAAGGCTTCCAGTACCATGTCAAGGAGTCTGGGCAGGACTGAGGACAAGAGCATCCACCAGGAGGGATTGATCAGGGGAGACTGAGCTGATTGACACCTTAGAGACTTCTATACTGCTGTGAGAACAAAGGGAGATCATAAAAGAGAAGTCAGGGACAATTGTAGTCTTCTGACCCTGCAAGGTCTCAGGGGCAGGGATTTATTTCACAGATGTTTCAAGGCAAAAGACACTTAGTCCTTGCCCTTGGGAAGTTCATGGTTTACTGGGGCCCATTTCTTAATAAAGAGAGCTGGGAGGGCAGAAGGAAGGAGAATAATGGTGGAAAAGATGTATGTCCCAGAAGCTAAAGAAAGCAGTGGTGTCTGATCGTGGTGGAGACGAGGCCCAGGAAGCCCCAGAGAAGAGAAGGGCTGTAAGGCTCCTTCCTCCCAACTGGCCCAAGTGTAACTGTCTGGACATCCTAATTCAGGCCAGCGGCATCATATGCACTGAACAATAAGGATTCAAGACTCCTTCTTGAGGCCAGAATGCCTGATGTTCCAAAAGTCTCTAAGCCCTTCTCACACAATCGCTGATCCCTACCACCTACCTTCCTCTGCTATCCTGGCAGTATGAACAATTATGTGAAGATAAGAAATTATTTCCTTTTCTTTTTATCTACCCATGGATAGATAAAACCTGTTTGAAAAGTTTCTTGGAGAGCCATTTTTTTTCAGACAACAGGATCTCTGAAATGAACTGGAATTTAATGTCATTCCATTAACATTTCGGGAAATGCCAGCAAGAAGCTCCAACTGATAATTACATACAAGAGGGAACAAATTGGGTGTGTTTGTCTCACACAGGTCTACCAGACCCCCCTAAATGCTTCAGAGTAGATTGTGTCATCAAAAACTATTTGAAATTATCCTGTCCCCACTATTATAGATTCAAATGGCATTTACATTTGGCCAAATGGTCTCTAATTGAGCTGCCCATTAAGTGACTGCATGTAGAGGCAGTCATGACATAAAACCTCATTTGCAAGCTGCAGACAGGAAGGTGGTGATTAGTTCTAGAAGGTGAGAAGCTCGCGAGATCTCCTCTAGCTCTTTCAGAAAGTACAGAGCGATAGGTTTGGCAACGGAGACATACATGTAAATGTAGCCAGTGATGGCCCTGTTCTTGTTCACAGTGCCAGCGATAACCCCATCCTTGCCCACCTTGCTCACAAAAGCCCACCATTCCATGTAACTTCACAGATCACTGTCTCATAAGCCACTGTGATCTCTGCACCACCTTTGAATGAACAGTACAGGTGCTCTGCTGTGCTCATTTCACAGCTGGGAAAACTAAAGTCATAATTCAAATGACTCACCAACGTCATTCGACAAGCACAGGAAATGGCCATGTTAGAGACAGAACTTCCTACCCCCACTCCTGGGGCACCCACAACACTATGGGACCAGTCTAAGACCTTTAGTAGTGACAGTACAGAGGGATAGGTTTGGCAATGGAGACATACAATGTAAATGTGGCCAGCACATCTCCAGATATGAAAACGACACCACAAAGAGGAGGTGACCTGAAGCAGACCTGTCACAGGGAGCCCAGGGGAAGGCCATAGGGAATGACTGGATGTGCAGTCACTGACAGAGTCCAAGTAATGGCATATCCTGTACTGTTTAGAAAATAATGACAAGAAGAATGGCTGTACATGGAAGCAAGTCACCAGAGTTTTCTGAATCCATAGATGCAGAGCGAGCAGACATGGAGCGACAGCTGCATTGGTTTTTGAAGGAGTTCCTAAGGTGCCATTGAGAATGCTCGCACTGTTTGGATGGTCAGATTCAAAGCAAGAAAGAGGTGTTAAGCCCAGAGCAGCAGCTTGAGGGCCCTGTGAAGCACACAGACCCAAACCTATCTTGTCCCACCCAGGAGTGTGCTGATGAAGGTGCCTGCTAGTGCAGTCTGTGAGAGAGATTTTGAGAACAATGGGAGACTCTGCTAAGACCTGAGCGCTCCAGAGTTCCTGTTAGACTTGGGATAAAATGTCAATGCTTAAAAGGTTTCACAATAGCTGGTAAAGTTCAGCGCTGGCTCCTTCCACCTTATCTCTTGTCACCAGTCAGACCTTCACATAGGTTCACTGACACCCCACACACATCTCCCCAGCTGTCCACATAATAAACTGCTTCCTCACTTCCTCTGCCATGGCTCATGCTCTTGTTTTCAGTCTGTTCTTTGTCCAGGTTTCATTTCCTCCCTCCTACCCCAATTGTTTACCTCTTAGTGGCCCTTCAAGTATCAGCCTACAGGTCACTTTCCGAGGCAGTAGCTTAGTGCAGCTCTGCTCTTCCGTGACTAGGTTTGTGTGCCTTCCTCTCCCACCTCTGTCTGCATTTTCCCAGCTCTCTCTGTAATTGCCTCATTCTCATTCCGTCCTCACCACCCGGCAATTACCGAGTAGAAACAGCAACTGCTCTCATATTCACTATGGTAACCTCAAGCCAGGCACTGCAGTATTTTGTTGAATGATAGAATAGATTATTTTTTAATTAAGTTAGCCAGTGGTAAACTCCACTAAACAACACAAAAGAAGGACTTGCTCCTTTACAGGTGTTAAGTTCAGTTGGCTTGAGCACCACTAAGATCCCAACTGGACAATGCCCCTATGTCATCTGACATAATAGCACATTAGACTCAAGATTCTGCTGGAAAAAACAAGTGAACAGGCATCCTATTTACAGATGTCTGTCTTAAAGAGGCTTATTTCTATCTGGGTGTGATCCAAGGTACTGAGGGCTTTAAATAATTGGGAAAGACATTATCTTTGGAAGCTAAAATCCAACCCTTGAATACCTTGGTTCTTGCCAAGTATCTCCCACAACCCACATTAAGTGGATTATCCTGTCCTTAATCACATGCTAAATGCCTGCATCTGTGGCTGGCATCAGCTGAGTGTGTGGCAGCTGCAGTCACCACTGAACCCCCCCCCAGTCCCTGCTGTCAAAGCAGAAAGCAATGGGTGAAGATCTCCAAGCAGTAGGTGGGACTCAAGACTACAAAGGTTAAGGTCTCTAGGCAGTCATCCATTCAACAGGAGTTAATGGTCAAGTGTATCCTAGGTGCAAAAGAGAGAAGTCGGACATATCTCATTCTTCCAAGTGGCTCTACAGAAAACAGTACTCACAGAGCTGGAGCTAAAAGTTCCTTACATTTGCTGGCACTCAGACTTGATGTGAATTTGAGGCTCTAATTCAGGAGGTCTGGGGTAGGAGCTGAGAAACCCATGTTCTGATATTCTTTTGATTAAGAATGCTGCTGCTAGTTCAAGGACCGCATTCTGAGCATCTCACATCTCACTGTAACACACAAAGGGACAATGAAATCCTTATTACCTCAATTGCTTGCTACAATAATTGCGGGGGTAGGTGCAGAAGGACTTACTGACCCTCTACTTACTCAATGGTATCTTAACTGTTAAATTCTGGGTTCCTTTTTGTAAACCCCAAATCCATAATCCCCAGCTTAATCTTCTTACACTTAACATCTGGTCACAGCCATGACTGACTTCTACCTCTGCACGCAGACCTGGCATTCACCAAGTGATCTCTCAAGCTAAAGACTGTACACACTGACAGCCATAACTGCTTCTCTGGGTCTGGGACTGGTCTTTCTTGATCTTCAAGATCTTTATGACTCCCAGCACAATGGTCTGAGAGGCATACTAAATGTACTAACCAGGAAGTTTTGAGAATGCCAGAGTACTTATCACCAGGGAATCTGAGGTAGCCATCTAAGTATTTGTCATGTGTGTCACCTATCCAGTATGTCCCCATGTAAGTTACGCACAAACAACAGAGCTCTGTACCAAGGGAAATGAATGAGAATTGCACTTGGTGAGTATCTACTATGGGCAAGACATTGTACAAATTGTTCCCTGAGCTCTCATACAGGAGATGCAGGGTAGGTTAATGTTTTTCTTCCTGGGGCTAAAAAGATGGCTCAGTGGTTAAGAGCATTTTGTTGTACAGTCATGACCTGAGTTGGGATTCCAGAACCCAAGTTGGGCATCCATAAAACACCTCTTACTCCAATTCTGAGAGATCTGACACATCCTTTTGGCCTCCATATGCACAGAGGTATGAACACCTTCACATTACAGGTGTGCTTATAGGCACATGAACACACACATATGCATACATAAATCTTTGAAAACTACCTTCACTCCTGTGTGCTTGTATTCATTCTTCATTAGTTAAGGATCAGACATGCTTTAGAGAGTGAGTAGCTATGCACACGGTATATAGACTTTCATTTTCAGGGGTCCTGGTGAACAATAAATATCACACTGAAAATCACTCTACTAGGAAGTGCTACCATAAGGACAGAAAACCATCCTCTCCCCAGCCTAAATGCCTCGTTTTATCAACCCAATGAATCCTTCAGATCTTCAACTCATCAGCTAGGGCACATGTTAATAATATAAATATTATGACACACTTAGTGTGTAACAGGCATAATAGGCAATCTTCCTAACATGTTAAGAGAAATATGATAAGAGGAAACTTCATATTATACTTGGAGGAAAATGGCCCTGATAACTGTTGGTGAAGACTGGTGAGCATTTTCCATCTAAAGTTGCCCTAAGAACCTGCTTGGTGCAGAGAGAGAAGACAATACTCACCTTGGAGAGACTGAGTTAGTTGGAAAGAAGAGAGCAGTTATTCTATCCAGTCAGATTTGGAAGCAACACAACAAGAGTTACGTCTGAGGCCAGGAATGCTGCCTTGCTAGAATGCTGCAGGGCTAACAGGGTGTGGGTAGGTGGGGTAGCTCCAAAGTACCTCCCTCATGCTCGAATCACACCATGTTATTATGACCAGTGTTTCTCTGCACTGATATCCTGCCGTGTGATTATGGCTTTATGGTTTCAGGCCCACAATCATAAGGGATCGGTCACTTTGGCCCTTAGGTAAACAGATGCTCCTGGTAAACACTTCCCCTAGCAACTGCCCAGTTGAGATTAGCTGTGAGTTCTTGGAGCCACCAAACCAGACTCAGAATGGGTCCATTGTGGACCTATATTGACAGACGTGCTAGAGACAACTGAGATAGTAAGAAGGTCACTGGGCTAAGCATGGTAAGCAAATGGTGCAGTAATGTTTGGGAGGAAGAATTGAATAGCTAGTGACTTAGCTAAGGGGAAGAAAGAAATCCTGTCTGGTTGGCACGCACAGTGATGCATATCCTGGGCTGGAAAATCCCGTGATTTGAGTTGGGGGTTGGTATTTTGAAGGAAGATAGAGATAATGAGGGGATCAATATTATTTGAATGCTTGTGTTTGAGAATCATTCCAGTTCTCAAGGTGGAAATAGGAAGTGGCCAATGGGCATATACAATGTATATATATTGTAGTCAGAGACATAAAGCTTGTCTATTACTGTCACTTGAAGACCTGGAACTTGATGTGCTCACCAAGACAAGACTGAAAGAGGAGACAACAAGATGCAGGACCAAACTAAGGTCCCTCTGACATCATGAGATAGACAAAAAGAGAGAGAGAGAGAGAGAGAAAATCGAATGGGAAGGGCCCGTGAGATGAACACAAAAGAGAACCTGGTTTGGGGAAGTCAGGGGCCCAGGTGAGGTATGAAAAAGGAACACACACTCACTAAAGCATAGATAAGTGTATCCAGCTGGCAGATAGAGCAGATAAATTGAGGACTAACAAATGACCATAGAGTTTACATCTCTAGCACCTAGGATAGTGGATGACACAGAGTAGATGGTAGAATTTGGACTAATTAACTAAAGGATGTAGTCCAAGAATGAGATTACATCTTCTCATTCTCCTCTCCTGGTTCCATGACAGAAATTCAGGTCTCTCTGTCTCTCCCTCCCTTCCCTTTTTCCCTCCCCTTTTCTATCTCTAACTCATTCTCTAGTTCTCTGCCTCCCTCTCCCCCTCTCTCTCTCCTGAAATGGGGTCTCATGATATATTTTTGACTGACTTGGAACTCAGTATGTTGGCCTCGGACTCAGGACATTCTTCCAGCTTCATCCTCTAAGTGGTAGGATTACAGAAGCACACTATACCCTGCTTTTTTTATTTTTAAATCCAGACTCAGCCTTGGAATTCCTCAAGCTAGTACAATGGCCAGTACTACTAAGTGGCTGGCCTGGTCAGGCATAACCAAGCCTATTCTTCTGTCCTGGAATGCACTAAGTGAGCAGTACAGGACTTCATGTCAGAGGTGCTCAAAACTGGAGTGTCACTGAAGCAGCTTCAGGGCGAGACTCAGACACTGTCAAGATCCTTCAGAGGGAGTTGCTCCTTAATTAGAGTTTAAGCCAGACAATCTTTGAAGCAACCCAGACAGGGGTTCTCCCTCTTTCCTAAACTGTACCTGTAACAAGCACAGAGAGGAAACACCTACCTGGTATATGATTAACACCTGAGAACTAAGCCCTCCCTCCCTAAACACTTCCTCCTCTGCATCTGTCCTCCCTCTTATCTTTATTGGTTTCCTGAAATGCCTTTTCTGCAAAGGCAGGCTCTGTTCTAAATCTCTATGAACACAATTAGCACATCTGTTTCTTCCACAAAGTAAAAATGAATCACAAGATGCAAGATAGTAACTTATCCACCCAGCCATAGGCACCCTGTCTTCATCCCTAAATGATGCAATCCCCTCACATAAAATAGAAGATGACAACTTTATTCTTCAGTCCACAGTACTTAGCATTGTGGAGAGGCATCTGCTGTAGATGAAATTTGGGTCTTTGGAACATTAATGTTTTGAAATGTATTGCTCTTCACCACCTGGAGGCTCATGAGTCCATTTCTGGATATTTCCACCTCGTGCTGTCTTGCAAACTAAGGAGAGTTCAGTTCATAGTGAAGCAAGTCATGAGTTCTGCGATCTAGATTCTTGTATCCACAGTGTAAGGGGAAAGGTCAATATTTGACCATCAAGAGCCTCTATGTATCCTCCGTCATCATTATCCATTCTTCCACAAACATGTCCTATGCTAGTTCCTACAATCAGTTCTGAAATAGAATTCACTAAAGGAATAAGAGTCTTGGTTTCTTTTCTCACCCAGGGCTCATAAATGGGCTTCAGAAGTACTGTGTGTCCCTCCAAGATCACCACTAAATACTGTGTGAGAGGGTTTTTTTATTATTTAATTCATTTATTTTTCATCCAGAATGCAGCTGCCCCCCCTTCTTTTCCCCTCATTCCCTGAGTATATGAGTTTTATAATGTTCATCAAACTCTGAATCAAAAAGATCAACAGAAATATAATACTGCCATTTTACAGGGCTTTTCCATTGCACATATTGAAACAAAAATATCACTAAGAACTGTCAGATGTTTTGCCTGGTT